GTCAGAAGATGCCAGAACCTTGCAAATGGCCCAGGACCATTCTGAAGGCTGGAAGAATCATCCCAACACCACTGGGAGTGGGAGGAATGGACAGGTGCAACCCGTGAGCTAGGCTCCACCTCCTCAAATGTTGTCCGTTCCCTTAGAATGTGAACAATCCATCCATTTTGCCAGGCCCTGGCCACAGCCATGTCCCTGGTGGCCGGGAGCGAGAGCAGGAAAGGCAGACTGAGGGCCAGGTCAAGAACATCTTGGGTTGGCTCTTGGAGATAGATGGAGGGATCCCCAGGGAGCCCAGGTGGGAGGCAGGCAGCCAATCTCCTGGGTTAAGGCACAAGTTCGAGGACATGCCGGCTCCACTGTGCGTTCCGGCCACAGGCAGCACCTTGACCCAGCTCCGGCTCCCAGGGCAATGGCGGAAAGCAACCGGAGACACGGGCTCCTCCAACCCCTTGCCTGCTCAGCGGGATCTGATCTAGGCACGCTTTAGTTCTATGACATAAATCAATAAAATGCACTAAATAAATTAAGTGAGCAGCGGAATTGTAAATCGATTTTGGGCGGAGGCAGAGCGAAGCTGGAGGGAAGCGGCAGGAGGCTGTTACACGAAGCCGAACTCCGGGAGGGACTCAGCGCAGCGACCCTGGCAGCCTTCCCCCCTCCCCACCCTCAGCGCTGTGCATCTCGAGAAAACAGTCTACAAATAAAAACTCCGGGCCTCAGAGATTGTGTTAAAAACCGCCACTGACTGGAGGCTGCCAGAAGGCCCAGGGTGCAAAGAAACAGGGGCAGCGGGCAGGCACAGCCGGGGGGTGGGGGATGGCGAGCAGCGCAGCCCTGAACACATCACTTGGAGTGCCTGGGCTTAAGTCCCTAGCTGCACTTCTAACTCCATCCTGTTGATGTGCACCCTGGCAGGCGGCAGGTGGAGGCTCAGGTACTTGGGTCCCAGCCACCCATGGAGGAAGTCTGAATGGCGTTCTTAGCTCCTGGCGTTAGCCTGAAGACATCTGGAGACTGAACCAGCAGATGGAAAATCTTTCTTACCCTTCCAGTAAATAACTTAAAAAAAAAAAATCAGCTCAGCCCAGGTGGGTCACAGGAGACCAGTGCTGTAGGAGTTGGGTCCAGGTTTCTAAACCCAAATAAGACACCCGGTACCTCCAGCACACTATTCCCTGTTCATTCTGGCCATCCTTTATTCACTCAACAAACCTGTACTAAATCTTGGCTCTGTACTAACCATACCTGGGCCACAGGGGCTGCAGGGAAGGGAAAGACACAGTGTCTGTTTCAGGGAGGGTCCAGTCTGGTTTGGGGGAGACCACACCAATGGCATCCCAGGTGCACCTGCCCCTGCAGGTGTGTCCCTCCAGGGCGCTCAGGGAGTGCAGGTCCCGGTCCCAGCTGCATCAGGATGACTACAGATGAAGCACGGCAACTACAGATGAAGCACGGCAACAACGTCTTAGCAGCTGAGACGTTCATGCAGAGGTGGTGAACGGCTCAGCGGATGGGAGGCAGCACAGAGCAAGCCAGGGAGGACACATCAGACACTGCCTGCGAGATGCGTGCAGCCTGCGAGACGCCCACATCCAGTGGCGGGCACTGGTTCGAGTCCTGGCTGCCCTGCTTCTGGCCCAGCTCCCTGCTAAGGTGCCTGGAAAACCAGGACAAGATGGTGCGAGAGCTTGGATCCCTGCACCCTCGTGAGTGACATGGGCAGAGTTCCTGGCATCAGTCTGGCTATTTGGGGAGTGAATCATGAGATGAAAGATTTCCCTCTTTCTTTCTGTCTCTTCCTCTTTGTGTAACATTACTTTTTAAATAAATTTTAAAAATCTATCTTATTTTAAAAAGAATGTCCTTTTAGAATACAGAGGTCATAAACAGAAAATTGAGCTAAAGGGAGCAGCAACAAGGACACTATTTTTCATGAAGGACTTGGGCATTTTTTTTAAAGATTTATTCATTTTAAAGGGAAGAGACGGAGTGATAGAAAGCTCTCCTCCGCTGATCCATTCCCCCAATGGCCACGAGAGTGGAGGCTAGCGAGCAGCTGAAGCTGCCAGCTCAACCCGGGTCTCTTCCGTGGGTGAGAGACTGGAGGACTCGAGCCATGCCCTGCTGCCTCCAGGGTGTGCATGAGCAAGCAGCTGGATGGCAGAAGGAAAAACCAAGACTTGAACGCAAACTTTCCAACAGGGGACACAGGTGCCTCAAGCAGTAGCTTGGCTACTAGAGCAGGTGCTGCCCCATTTCAGTCTTTCAAACCATATACTCACACTGCTTTGATTTTTTTTTTTAATCAAAGTCACTTTGTTTTTTTTCTTTAAGTTCTCAAATGCAGAGGTGCTGGCTATCCGTGCAGTATGGCTCAACAGGCTCCCAAAGCCAAGTGTGTGTGAAGAGAAGTTAGGAAAAGAGTGGGAAGAAGGCCTGGGAACCCCGTGCGGGAAGAGTGGACGGAGGAAACGCAGGGAGAGCAGGAGGAAGCATGTACTGCTTAGAGGCAAGAAGCTTCTGGAAGGTGCACCTAGCACAAGGTAAACACTCAATGGTTACATTGGCTTGGTCAAGGCTGTCTCTACCTTCTCTTGGTCAAGGCAGCTGCGCAGCCAACAGACCATGCCACACAAGGACCGATTAGGATCAACAGGTGGCTGGTGCAGTCCGGTAAGGAGCCTGAGATACTGCATTCATTTGTTCATTCATTCATTCATTCATTCACAGTGCGAGCCCATCTACCTGCCAGTGAGTAAGTACTGAGACTTGGGAACTGAGCTCTTTCTCAACTTGACTGCGGAAGACTTAGCGGTGGGTTGGGGGTAAAGGGGAGGCACGCAGACCCCTTCCCAGAAGTCAGGGCACTGGCATAGCTGATACTGGAGAAAGACATCGCCCCCATCTTTCCAGCAGAGTGACTCTGCCTCCCTTACCTGGAGCCCGCCCACCACAGCTGCCAGCTGCTGGCTGCTGGCTCACCTCTCTTCCCCCAGGGCACCACCCAGGAGCGTGGGAGTCTGGTCCCAGGAACTGACTGCACGCAGGTGCTCGGGATGTGCGTGTCAAATGCAAAGGGACATGGGAAGACGGCCCCCTTGGGGCTTGCAAAGCAAATAGATGAGGGTGACTTCGTCCAAATATTCAGGTCACTCAGGGAGACAGTGACCAGGGGAGACTTCAACTTGCAGTCTGATCTCTCTCTCTCTCACACACACACATATTCACACACTCATGCGCTCACACATTCATACAAGCAATCTGACCTGTGTGTGAACATAGGCATTCACACATGACACATGCTAGCACAGCGGTACACACACACGTGAGCACATCTGTGCACATATCCACAAGAGGCATTTTCATGTTCGTTCATGCACACGTGTGTATACTCCCACACTCACATATGCTCCTCCACAGCTTGCACACATGTACACACTCCCAGGGGCCCCTGCTCATGGAGATACACTTACACACAAACACATACACACATGCAGGCAAGCTCACACACAGGCTGTGCCTCCTGGGATCCCCAAGACCCCAGGGCTGACCGGATGTGCGTGCCAAAGGTCTCCCAGCCCAACAGGCAGTGGGCGGAGCTTGTGTGTTGGGGCCAGCAGCCAGGGGCCTGCATTAAAGCACAGCTCTGCACCAGAGGGGAAGCCTAGGTGACTTAACCTGCCTAACCCTCAGTCTCCCCATCTGTCAGGTGGAGCTGAGAACAACAGCTGATTCTTCACAAGGTGATGGACCACCTGCATACCAAATACAGCTACAGGGCTTGGCCCATAGGAACAGCCCCATCAGCTCCTCTCACTGGTCAGTAATGTCACGGGAGTGTCTCCCAATGAAATCAGTTTGGAAGCCATGCCCCAGAGGGGTCCCTGCCACTTGTCCCTCAGGCTCCCAAGAATCAACAGGCTGCAGCCCCCCAAGGGGAAAGTAGACATAAAACATGACCAGCCTTGGAGTGAATGACCAGGGGCACCCCTCTGTCTCCGGGAGCTCCGTGTCCCCAGCAGGGGGCGCCATGCACCCAGGACTTCAATCCCACTGAGTCAAGCAAGCATGCAGTCCAACACTGTGTGGTGCGGAGTGAACTTGTACTTCGGGGATGTCTGCCTCAGTTTCCCCTCCTGAATCTCCAGGCTAAATCAAGAGCTCTGCTCACCTGCTGGCCACATGCTCCGTGGCCCTGCACCAGTCTCTCCTGCAGGACTCACCCTCCCTCTACTTCCCTCCAACCTGCAGTCAGAAACTTTAACACCTGGGATGAAGATCATGTGACCCAGCCTCCCTGCAGCGGATAAGTCCTGCTTGAGAAGACACATGCAGGTGCCTTGGGCTGAGAACAACTCCAAGGAATATTAGAGTTGATGTACCTCTGGCCCCACTCCAATCCAACTGCCCAAAGGCTGCCACGATAGCTGACACCCCCGCCGCCACCTTAGACCATGAAGACAAACACCATATGGTGATGGAAAGAGGCAGAAGAAAGGTTCCTGGCGCAGAGGCAGCCTGAATTGTCAACTTCCAAACTTTCATAAACTTGTCCCTTGATGCCAGTTCTTTGGAGTCACAGTGACCCGCAGGTGAGTCTGCTTCTAATCTCTGATGCCTCCATTCCCACCTGGCACAGCTGGGATTACACAGCACTGGGGCTCTGCCCACCCATGAGGTCCCTGTGGGTGGCAGTATTTGTCCTATCAGGCCCTCCTCACTTCCTGGGACAAGCGAGTCAACCCCCCAGCTTCTGTTCTCCAAGGGCAAACCTCACACCTGAAGGTAAACGCCCAAGCCCACCTTTCCCAGCCCGACTTGTGCACACCCATCGCGCCTCCCCAAAATCCCAGCATGCTCCGGACGGGGAGGGCAAACAATCCATTCCAGCTGCCTCTTGCGTCTCACCCGGCACTTGGGAAAGTGGCCCAGCGTCCAGCAGGTGCTACAGAACAGCTCTGGACCAACGCCCCAAGCAGGAGAGGGGACACACTCACCTTTCTCCGATGCTGGGGCCAGGTCAATGAAGCTGCGACATTTCTCACCTTTGGAAAGAAAGAGTGGGTGTCAGGCGAGAAGAGGACGCATGCACGCCAACGCAGGCCTCCACGGTCTCCCTCGCACAGGTGCTGTTGTCGCCACCCCGGACCTGGTGTGTCTCCTGTCTCCCAGCCCCTACCAGCAACCCATCCAGCCCAGTCCCCGTGCTCATCATCTGCCCCAGTTCAGGTCCCCATGTCCCCCAAGTCCTCGCTTCAGGAGTGTTAAATTCATTACTTGAATTTTACTAAATTCATTTACTTGAGACTGAGCACACATGCCCTTCTATCCACAGCTTCACTGCCAGATGACTACGACAGCCAGGGCTGACTGGCCCAAGCTGGAGCTGGTTGCAAGGAACTCGACCCAGGTCTCCCACATGGGGTGATAGGGCCCACGGACTTGAGCCCTCACCCTCACCTCCCAAGGCACAGCAGCAGGAAGCTAGGGAGTCAGGAGCCCACGGCTCACCCCACATCCAGACCTTCTGATGTGGGACCCCAGTATTGTAGCCAGCTTCTAATCACTAGGCTAAAGGCCCAGCCCTCTTCGATGTTATTATTAAGGATAGGAAACAAAAAGCAAAAAAAAAAAAAAAAAAAGTCTTTTTCTTTTTGCAATCTCACACTCCATATAATATTTGTGAAGCTAGGATTAGCAGCGGCACAAGGACCCAAGCCCAGTTACTCCAACAGGAGCTGGGTGTGTCCCAAGGGACACCTGAACGCCAACCCCAAGAAGGCTAGCTTCATAACACCCACACGACGCTCCTGCCAGCACAGACCCGCCCAGGCCACACACACTCCAGCTACAACTCCTTCCAGCCCACCCCCAAGGACAGAGTCAACCTGTGGACTTGGTGCTGGCCTCCCTGTCCAGTCCGCTCCCAACCCTTCTCAGACCCCTCCCCACATAGCGCATGCTCCCTCTCACCTCTGGGCCTTTTTTGTATGTGCTAACTGACCCCACCCCATCCCCTCACTCAGAATACACTTCCCCTCTCTGCTTCTTCATGCTGGGAGAGCAGTCCTCTGCCAACCAAGGGCTGTGAGGGAAGATGGGAGGCACAAAGAAAGAGGTGGAAGGAGGGAGGGCCATGCTACACGAGCTGGGTTCTGTACCCATGATTGTAAATCTTTTTTAATGTTATACTCTCAAAAGTTGGAGGGCATGGCCTGGAGTGTCCACGGTGGGCAAGGCCACATCGAGTGATAAAACAAAAACGAAACCTGGGTTTTGGCAACAATATTCACAAAAAACGAACACACGGAGCATTCAACATTTCCTTCTCTGGAAAGTACATTTGGTTCTGCTGATCCCTCTCTGTCAGATCCTTGCTCACCAAGAGTTGGGGTGCCCTGAACAACACGCTGCAGGCTGCATGATCCCAGGATCCCGTCTTCAGAGAGTGCCCGGCTCTGCCAACAGCACCTGCATCCTTTGTGGACACTTGACCAAGACCTTGGTGTTGTCTTTGCCTCCTGTCTCACACCCGCCCATCGGACCCACGGTTTAAAGGCCTCTCTCAGCCCAGACGGAGCTTCAGTTCCTGGATGCCTGTGGGCTCCGGAAATCCTCGGGGGGCCTAGGTTCCTTGTGGAAACTGGTGCTGTACATGCCTAGGACCCGCCATATCCTGCCACATCCTTAAAGTCACATCTGGATCACCATAAGGCCTCGGGCCATGTGAACGCTGTAGTGACTGTTTTTATCTTATTGTCTGGGGATGCATGACAAGGGAAGGAGTCTCCACCTGCTCGTTTCAAACAGCGGTTTCCTCTAATATTACCATTTCCTATGGCGGCAGGTGCAGGGCCCGTGGACAGCATAACAACATTTGTTTATAGTTGTGCTTTATCAGAATGGGGCAGACAGGCAGGCAGATCTTTGACCTGCTGGCTTACCTCACCCCAAGAAGGTGTCGCCCAAGGGGTGAGCAGTGGACAGGGTGGAAAGGAGGACAGCCTGACCCTCTCTCCTCTGCCCTCTGATTCCCTGTGGATGCATCGCCCTGGGAGAAGCCAAGTGACAGGTGACCCAGAGGCCCAACAGGGATGCCACCTGCATGGCCACCAGCGCCCAGTCATGAACCCTCTCCAGGGGTTCATGCTTTCCTGGAATCTTATCACAGTATCTCTCGCCCCATTGTCACCTTCCACCTGGAGTCCAGTGTGACATCTACAGGACTATATGAGTGGCACATCTGACACAGCAGGTGGAGGCTCCGGGTCATTTTGCTGCCTTTGATCTGGATCCTTGGCACCTCCAAGGCCCATCCAGGCCAGGAAGAGCACCTAATATGGGGACCACAAGTGTGTGAAGCCAGAATCCACACCCCAGCATCCGGAGGAGGAACCTGAGTCTGCAAGGCTGCCCTGCCCGAGGTTACACAGTCAGCAAGCAGCAACATCAGGATCTGGCCCAGAGGCCATGTCTTTCCAGAACTTTCCCTCTTACAGGGGTGCTCACTTGTCCAGAAGTGGAGCAGGGACCCAGGGGCACGCCCCAGCCAGACCAGGTGGACTCTGAAAGATCTCTTGGATGGTAATTTCCATCTTTGACAGAAGTAGAGACATTCAGCCTTGTGTCCCCAACCCCGGGAACTGTCAAGTCGCAGCCGGCGGTGGCGGCTGCCTCACACCCGGCTGTCCGCCTCACCAGCATGGGGTTATTTTGAAACAAATCCCAGACGTTGGACGCGAAATGTCCTTCTGAAGGGCGCATGTGACTGCTCAGACAAGCTAAGCTGGGAGGTGTTTGCTCCTAGACCTGCTGGTGGCCTCACCTTAGCAGGCTCGGGCTGCAACATGGGAATAAAACACAACATCTGACCTTGAACGCAGATTCGATCCTCCTCTTCCACCTTGTTGATCCCTCTGACCCAGCACCATCTCAGGTCAGGGAGAGGGGAGTGGGCTCAGAAGTGGCCTGGCAATGGGCACAGGGACACCGAGACTGAAAGAGGCTGGCACAGGCCCTTAGCTGAAATGAGACTTCCAGCAATCCAGCACAGACTCCAGGACGCGGTCAAGGCCGCCTGGCTCTGGCTCTGTACCCAGGCCTGATTCCAGGAATGTCACGCAAGGTCTTCCCTCCACCAGGCCAGGTCTAATTGAGAAAGAAGCTCGTGTGTACACGGCAGCCCGTGGCGGGGGGAGAGGAGACAGCCAGGAGCACCAGGGAGGGCGTGGTGCAGCACCTGGCCTGGGCTCTGGTCTGACACGGACCTGAGTTCAAATCCCAGCTCTGCAGTCTGCTGGCCACGGGCTGGGGGTAACAAATGGCTTGAGGGTTTCATAGCTGGCTGCCCCTTTGCCAGGAATGGACCATCGCTCCATCCTCCTGGGGCTAAATGAGGAAGTAGACAGAAAACAAAATGGCACCTACAATGTAAATTAGAGACAAGGGCAGGGCTGAGCACAGTAGTGAAGTCGCCACTCGGGGCAACCTTGTTCTAGACCAGAGTGCGTTCCTTTCCTCGCTCTGTTCAGATCTCTTCTCCCCTCTACACATCTTGGGAGGCAGCACTGCTGGCTCAGGTCCTTATGTCCCTCCCTGCCAGCCACGTGGGAGACCAGGATGGAGCTTCCTGGCTTTTAGTAGACACTGTGTGTGTGTGTGTGTGTGTGTGTGTGTGTGTGTGTGTGTGTGTGTGTGTGTGTGTGTGCCTTTCACATAAATAAACACAGATTGGAAAATCAGCAACTAAATCACATGCTTAAGAAATCCAATCATGGGGTGCAGTGGCATACAAGGCTAAGCCTCTACCTGGGGTACCAGCATCTCCAGTTCTCTGTTTGGCCTGGGAAAGCAGCAGAGGATGACCCAAGTCCTTGGGACCCTGCACCTGCCTGGGAGACAGAAAGAAGCTCCTGACTCGTAATCAGCTCAGCTCTGACCATCGCCAATATTTGGAACACAAACCAACAGCTGGAAACTCCGTGTGTGTGTGTGTGTGTTGTCGTCCTCCTCTCTGCTACTTTAACAAATGACAATGTTTGTACAGAGGGCAGGCTGAAGTATGAACTCCCAGCCCCAAGGATGCCTGTCACGTTCTGTGGACTCCCCCTCTAGAACGGGGGGTACTCACAGAGACAGTTGGGCTCAGAAGGCCACCCTGTACTTCCTCCCACCACGCCCCCTCTGCAAGCGGCTCAGCTTGTTGAGCCTTTTGCCTCCACCTGCCGAACAGAAACCACTGGAGGACAGATGTTCGCCTTATCCCCAGAGATACCACGACTTCAACGGACACATGAAACGGCGGATAACACCAAACCCAGTAGATCGTGTTGGCCCTCCACACACAGACCCACAGCAGAGTGTTCTTTGTAAACTAAGCACAGTAAGAAATGGACAATGACAGCCAGTAATAAAAGAAGAAAAGGCATGTGACCGTGGGCTCATCTCGTATTCGAATACTACAATAACAGGAGCACCGAGACACCTGCAAAATGACTGACAGGCAGGCAGCGTACACAGAGTGGACACACTGCACACAGGGAGGACTCATGTGCTGGGCAAGAAGGAGGGAGGACAGCGCAAGATGCCCATCACACCACTCAGAGTGGCTTACACCTTCAAACGGATGGATTGCTTCTTTCTGGAATGTTCCATGGCACATTCCCTTACTGCAGTTGCTACTAGGTACCTGAAACTATCAGAAGCAACACCCTGAGTAAGGGGGTACCCAACGCCTGTCTTCTAACCTGTGCACATAGGATCCAGGCAGGAGGGAGTGTGCCCAAGTGTCTGGCCCTCTGTAAGAGCTGCCTTCATCCCCTCTCTGCGTCCTGCGTTAGACACACACACACATGCTTCCCTCCTCTCCCAGGAGGGCCTGGGAGGCTTCCCAGAGCAAGAAGCTGTCATTCCACAGCTCCAGCTCAAGCAGGTGGAAGAACCTGGCAGGGCCCTGCGCGGAACAGGGAGAGGCAGCCAGAGGCAGATGCCTGATGCCCGATGGTGTGCACAGCGTCCCAGGCCGGTCAGGCTGGCCTTGGCACGG